TGCTGAGTTTTGCTATTTGAGGGGGAGAAGTTCCTGTGGATTTTAACACCTTTTCATGCAGATTTTATTTTTAAATTAAAGACTACAGGCTGACTCCAGTCACTCCAAGTCATTCAGTCACCAACTGAAAACTACCCAACAGCTACTGTTTTACTTCAGACCATCTTGTAAACTCTGAATTTCGTTTTGCACCTCTCAAATTCTTTCCCAACATCACCAACATCCTGCAGCACAGAAGAAGAGAACATGTCACACCTCAGGGCCAAGTTTTGCATGACCTTACTTGTGAAGACAAAATAAAAATAATAAAAACCCCTTTTATCTTGCACACAAGGTTAAGGGAGTCGATAAAGATGTTTAATAAAGGTTCAGTGCACTGGTGGTGCAGGTTCAGGGTAAAGGCAGGGGGGTTCCACCTCAGTAAGTTGTTTGAGCTGTTGTTGCTCACCTCAGACCTCGCGTTCCAGACACTCAAATTAAAAATTAGTTTTATAAAAATAATACTCCTGTGATGTCTGGGTGGAAAAACTCACAAATGCCACCTCCTGGCTGCCACAGCAGCTGGGCACAAGTGTCACCACCCAGTGCTCCCTCCCTCTGAAATACATGTATTTAACGGGGGGATTTATTGGACTGTTTCCTCATTAAAAGGTGTCATTGCCCAAACCATTGCAATGAGACCTTAAGGAAGAGCCCAGTGGCTCTGTCAGAGCTGGGGCCTGAACAAGGAAACCCAGCGGGGCTGAATTTTAGAAATCTCCTTTTCCTGAAGATTCCTAAACCTAGTTCAGTGTCTCTCAGCTTCCACAGTATTGCCTTCAAATTCCACCAAACCAACACAAATCACACCTGATATGGGAGTCTCAGGTATTTCAGGATCTCCACTGAAATCCATCCCAAGTTCTGCTAAACTTAGGAATCACAACAAGGAATCCAGTGCCCCACCAGCTCCACCAAAGGAGGGAACTCGTCCTACCCCACAGACATCCCCTGCAGCCACGTCCTGCTCTGTAATGATTTGCAGACCCTAAACCATCTATATTATAAAACAAAGCCTAATATACTTGATGGACTAGGAAGGGGAATGGAAAACAGCTGGGAAACATTAGAGTTTTCACACTGAGCCTTCAAATTCTTCAGCAGGAGACACTCAAACTGCCCTCACCGGTGTGGAAAACGCTGCTGGGACAAAATCCACCGTGAAAAGGGAAATTCTAGTGGAAGGAGGAAGTTCTTATGGGCAAAGCCTTGAGTGCCCTGAGCAGAACCAGAGTGGCTGCCCTGCCCTCACGTTACACTGAGGATGGCAAACACCTCCCCTCAGCCTTCAGCCGCGTCCCTCCAGCCCACAGCAGCGGGCACAGAAGCCTCCTTTGTACATGAAATCCCACTTGGAGGGGGTAAGAGGATATTTCCTGTTAACCTCACCGCAGATTTGTAATCCAGCAGTCAAATTATGTCAATCACAGCTCATTAGGCACCGATTTCCCCTGCCAACTCCGGCCTGGCTGCCTCCTCCAAACCACGTGGCGTTTGCAAACGTGCAACCCCGTTATGGGATCAGGGAGAGACCACCCTGCTGCAGGAGCTGGGAGCCTGGAATTCACCCCCACGGATCCCAGCTTCCCACAGGGAACAGTGGTGCCATCATGTCTAGGGATGCTCCTGGCACACTTGGTTTGCTGAGCGATGGTTTTCTCTGCAGCAAAGCAGGGTTGGACACCAGAATCCAGGGTTTATGCCCCACATGTCCGAAGGATAAAGCCAGGAAAACATCCCACAAGGCTGAGGAGGAAAAGGGAGCATCTTGGGGAAGTCAGGTCCCTGCAGGTATGTGCCAGTGCTGGAAAGCTCAGAGTCAGCTCTGGGATTCAGATCTCAGTTTATCCATCACCCCTCACGGGCACATCGGGACACGTGGTGGCAATGGCACACTCCGGGGTAAACCTGAGACTGAGGGAATTATTTCATAGGAAAGGGGGACAATTCACATCAGCAGCTTACAGACAGAAAGCTGGATCTCTCTTGGGTTATCCTCCACGTTTCCCTCCTCCAAGTACATCCCATCAAACACAACACACACCCCTGGGCCTCACACCGGAGACCCAACGCAGCACACAAGCCATGGAAGCACATTTACCACAGCAGTGCCAAAAACAGCACCAGGAGACCCAGATCCACAGGAAACCCCTCTCGTGTTATTTGTCCAGCAGGCCAAGAGGTGTGGCACAGCCAGGCCTGGCACCACCGTCCCTCACACGGGCTCAGCACACCCTCGGGAACGCCGACGGCACCGGGACACGCCGTGGGAGCACAGGGAGATTGGAGAGCTTCACCCAAAAAGTGTGACCTGGGGCACTGCCCATCACCTCCTCCAGTGGAAACACCTCAAAGAGCGAGGCTACCCAGAGGTGACTCTGCATGTTTGAGGTGACAAACCACCTCACCAGAGCCCTTCCTCAAGACCAGCTCCTCTAACAACGCACGCTGGCACGCTCGTCCATCACCTCCAGGCACAACATCCCCTGGCTGCAGGGACCACGGAGATCCTGGAGAAGCTCAGGAGAGCGTGTTCAAAGTGGGGAAAACAAAAGTTGTTATCACAGCACTCATGGCCATGGACATGTTTTGGAGGGTGATGGCTCATTGTCCTGCACGAGGGGGGGAAGAATAAAACTTCCAAACACACTTGTGATGCTGCACAGGAGGAACCTGTCCTGCACAACCCGATCCTGGCACACAGAACTGGAAACAAACCCCTCAGCACGATGACTCCAGACCTGCACGAGCCACTCAGCTGAGCCTCGTGTTCATCAACGTCACAATCAGTCCTGGAAATTTCGTTAGTGACACGAGAATTGCCACTGTCAGCAAAGCCCTCCAGGACCTCACCAGGGCTCCCCAGTGTGCCAGCAACACCGGTGCCAGGCTAATTTCTTAAGACAGCGTGTAAAGAAGGTGAGATTTAGTCCTATAACCTTCAGCTTCTTCTTCATACTCACATCCCCTGACTAATCCACCATCCCCACAGAAAATATCCCTCGTCCTTTCTCCCCTCACCATTCCTTTCTCATCAATCCCTGCAGTCCTCCTGCCTGCCCCGCTCTGGGGTTTGACTGGTGGCACAGCCATCCTTCCCTCAGAGCCACAGAGAAAGCAAAACAGTAACAGCCGGGGAGTTTATTCCTTCAGGAACTGCTCAGAGATTTCCTGGAAGCTGCAACACCACCAGCCATCCCTGGCTGGCTTCCAGGACGGGATGAAGGTGATTTTTGGAGCCCCACCTTGCAGCTTCTCCCAATGGGAGAAGGAATCAATGGGAGCAAACCATCCAACACCCCATTTGTACAGACTGTGCCTCTGCATGGCCTCTCCCTCCAGCAAGGCTATAGCACTCGCCCTCTGAACCTTTATTTAAGTCCATCTTTAGAACCAGAGGCCACCTCCTCCTTTCAAGTACCTCAGGAAATCACAGGCACGGCCCTGTTATCTCCCATATTTACATTACACATCTCTAACGCTCTCCCAGACGATGTCTCTGCCTCTGACTGATCTAATCAATCAGTCCCAACTCGAACCCACCAATTTTCTCCCCCAGACCACGCAGGCAAACCAAGCCAGACACTCTTGCGGCAGGTTAGGATGAATCCAGACCCGATTCTGAGCCCTGTGCTGCCTGCAGGAGCATCTCCCATCCGCAGAACCACCACGGCTTTCCCGACAAGAGCAACACGACATCAAGGTTTTTCCACTGTGCCTAATAATCGTAACATCTCACTCGCCATTTGGCTCGTCAGTGGGGGTTCCTGACTGAATAGGCTTATTCTTTTCTTAGACATGATAATCTAATTGGGTCTAACCAGAAATAATCCCCAGCGCACACCAGTTCGCGAATCCTCGCCCAGCGCCGGGAGCGTTTCGCGGACCGGGGGGGCTGCCCCGGGATGTGCGACGGGAATTACTCCGGCGGCAGCTCTCCTGGCCGGGCTTCCCCTGGCACTACAGGGAGCGCGGGGCATGGCACGCACATGGGGCCGCTCGCCCTCCTCCCCCGGCTCTGCTCCGCACGGAAACGGGGCTCGGATTCGGGAGGGCATGGCAGAAGGAGACGGGTCGCCACAACCGAGTCGCGATACCCGGGTCGCGATACCCGGGTCCCGCTGCTCGGGCGCCTGAGAGCGAGCGGGAGGTTTGCGCGATGCGGCGCCCGGGGAGCACCCAGGGGAGCACCCAGGGGTGCACAGCCCTGCTGATCCCAAACACCCAGCCCGTCCCGCTGATCCCAAACACCCAGCCCGTCCCGCTGATCCCAAACACCCAGCCCGTCCCGCTGATCCCAAACACCCAGCCCGTCCCGCTGACACGAACCCCCAGCCCAGCACCGGCCCCGGTGCCCCGCGCACACCGGAGGGGCAGCGCCGGGGTGTCCCCAGGGGGAAACGGGACCGAGATGTCCCCAGGGGGGACAGGACCGGGGTGTCCCCGTCGGTGGGGGGGCAGGACCGAGAGGTATCCTCGAGGGAGCAGGACAGGGGTGTCCCCGGGGAGGATGGAGGGGGGTGGGGGGACAGGACCGAGGTGTCTCCGGGGGGAAGGACAGGGGGCTCCCCGGGAGGGGGAGGGCAGGACGGCGGCGTCCTCGAGAGGTCACAGGACCGGGGTGTCGCCGGGTGGGGGAACAGGATCGGGATGTCCTGGGGGGCTCCGCCGGGCCGGGCCGATCCCTGCCCGCAGCTCCAGCCCCGCCGGGGCCGCCCCCGCCCGCGGGCTGCGCTCCGCCGGCGCCGGGCGAACCGGCCGGGGCTCCGCCTGGGCTCGGCCAGGGGCGGCTCTCGGGGGGCTCCCGAGACAAAGAGCCGCGGCCCGTCCCGCGGGCGGGGGGCCGAGCCCACCCCACCTGTGCCCGGCCGCCGCTCCCGCTCCAACTTTTCGGCGCTGCCTCTCCCCCCCCCCGCCCCGCTCCGCGCCGCCCGCAGACAATGGGGCCGGCGCCGGCTCACCAGGACCACGGCGAAGCGCTCCTCCAGCTCGCCGGGCTCGGGCATGGGCAGCTTGAGGGGCACGGGGTGCGCCCGCAGCTCGGTGTGCTGCGCGTCCACGCTGCCCGCGTTGCCCATGGCGGCCCCTCGGCGCTGCCCCGCGGGCTCCGCGCTCGGGGCTCCCTCTTCTCTTCTCTTCTCTCTCTCTCTCTCTTCTCTCTCTCTCTTCTCTCTCTCTCTCTACCACCGCCGGCGCTTCGCGGCGCCGCCGCCCGTCATGGCTCGCCGCCCTCGCCCTCCTCCCCCCGGGGCGGGCTCGCTCCGGCTCCGGCTGCGGCTGCGACTCCTGCTCCGGCTCCAGCCCAGGCTGCGGCTCCCCCGCATGCCGCCCGCACAAAGCCCCGCTCCGCCCCCGGCCCGCGGCGCCATGGGACTCGTAGTCCCGCCGCCCGCCGGGGGAGGGACGCGGGGAAGGAGTGGGAAAGGGACGGGGAAGGGGACGGGGAAGGGGATGGGGAAGGGTGGGCAGCGGTGGGGGCGACCCCGCCGCCTCCATTTTGGCCGAGCGGCCGCGCTGGGCAGGGATGGAGGGGCAGGACGCGGGGAATGGCTTCGTGCGGCCAAGGCCCCCCCTGCCTTGGGGATTAGGAAGGAATTCCTGGCTGGGAGGGTGGGGAGGCCCTGGCACAGGTTGCCCAGAGAAGCTGTGGCTGCCCCTGGATCCCTGGGAGTGTCCAAGGCCAGGGGGCTTGGAGCAACCTGGGCTAGTGGAAGGTTGGGGTTGGAACTGGATGATCCTTGATGTCCCTTCCAACCCAAACCACCCTGGGACTCCATAGTCTCTGTGCACCCACTGTGGTGCCAGCATGGGGCTGACACTGTGGCCACAGGGACCTGTTGGCTTGGAGCAGCAGGGCCTTCTGCCCCACCGAGGGGCTTTCCAGGGTGCCCCCAGAGCCCACATCCCTTTGGCTGAGACTGGGACAATGGGGGAATCAATCTCCATAGGTTCACCACCCCAACGTATCCACAACCAAGCTAGTGATGATGCCTGGGCGTAATCAGGGGATCATCCTCCAAAGCATATCAAACCTGCCCACTCCTCAGGTGCTATTCCCCATTTCTTCATCATTCCCTGCAGATCCTCTCCAACACTATGTCAGTGTCCTGGTGGCCAAACGCAGCCCCTGGGAATGGTCCCTGGGTGTGCAGGGGCCGTGCAGGAAACACGAGCCTGGCCCCCAGCACTCCCCTCCAGTTTGGAGAAAATCCCAGGAGATGGCATTGACCCGTTTGGTGACTGTGCTGTCCTGCTCTTACATCTGTGTTAGTCCCCACTCCAAGACCTAATTCCCTCCTGTCACCCTCACCAATCCATATCCCACTGTCTTCTGTTAACATTCCATTATCCTTCCAGGGAAGAACGATTTTCACTCAGCTGTCACCTTCACCACAACACTCTTACTGCTGTCTCTCCTCAACCCCAAGATTAATTTTTTTTGGGGGAAAGCAAGAAGATAAGCATCATTGTTTAGAAAATGACCATTCCTGAATTTATTTGCTCTGGGATGGCAGTCGTGCCAGAGGCAGAGCTCGCTGGGAATCCTGTGTGGCAGCACACGCAACCCTGCAGTGGAAATCCAGGGAAGTGACAGGAAGCTTTTCTCTGTGTGTGCTCTAGACCCACCACTAATTAAATGTGCTCATTCTAATTAGAAAAAAAAAAAAGACATAATACATCCATGACTGGGATGGGGAGTCCTGGATTAGACCCCACCTTGCCCTTGGAGTATCAGGGCCCCCGAGCGATGCCAAAGGTGTGGATTCCTGCTTCACAGGCACTGGGGAAGGTGTTACCCCAGGAACAGCCCAGAATTCCATACAACTGCTCTGTCAAAAGCCTAAAATTCTTGCAATATCCTTAATAAACCAAGGTTTAAACCCCAGAGAGCCCTTGGGAGTCAATAACAGCATTATTGTCGCTAGTGAAGGGACCGGTAATAAATACTTTGCTCAGGGTCTTTAATCTAAAACTATCACAATTCTTTGAGAGATTAATTAGTTAATTAAGCTTCACAACACTGCTGTGAGATAAGGGAGCAGTGAAGTGTCACTGATAACAGAGGAGGGTCAGGATACAGTGAGCTGGAGACAGTTTCCAGCCCGGGATCCTTCTCTCTCCCAGCAGCAAATTGCCAGCTGGGAATTACCTGCGACAGAAACCTTCCTCCAAGAGGAGGAATCCCAGCATTTCCCCAGTCAGTAATTCCCACCATGGAAGCACTCAGGAGCCTCATTTTTCTGAATCAAGGGCAAATCCCCTCAGGATTTTTGCATCCCTCTGGACACAGGGACACGGTCGGGGCCCGGGAGCCGCTGCCAGCCACGAATACCTGGGACAGGTTGGGATAATTGCAGGGCAAACTGGATTCTTTGGCTTGGCTTTCGGCAGGAAGCCAAAGGCAGCTCCAAATCCTGCTATGAGGCATATTCAGGTCAAAACCAGCCTTGCAAAGTTTTTAATGAAATTAGCCATCCTTACACACAGCAACTGTTTGACATCAATGCCAGAGAGCAAAGGAAGGAATTCTTTCAAGAGAATAAGAGGATTTTGAAGCAATTTGTTGTCTGTAACTGGGATGTCAATGTTTGCAAATGTCAGAACGAGCCTGGCAGCAGTGCTAAATAAAAAAGGGACTCAGCTGGCTCACACAAGGCTAAGAAATTATTCTGGGATAAAAATTCATGAACAAGAGCTTTGTTTTTACGTTTATTTATTCAAACTAAATAAGCAGCTACACAATGTGCAGTTCCCAGAGCTCATCCCAGGCACCTGGACAATTCACACCAGGTGATGCCACCAGGAAAGACACCAGGATTAATGGCCATACCAGCTCTGCAAGGGCTCTGTGCCACGAGCACGTGTGGAATTTCCCTGGAGAATGAGACATCTCAGCCTTTCCTCAAGCTCATTGGTCTGTTTGTCACCAAAATCTCCACACAACGAGCTGGAAGTTTGGGGCTGAGTCATTCCTGAAATCTCCTGAACCAGTGTCTACTTATCTGCCTGTGGAAGAATCTCTGGAGGGAAAAGCTTGGTTTATGAACCCTCATTTTCCCCGATGCTCAGCACTTCCAGATGGATCCCGAGCTGCAGTTCCAGGTGATGTGATATAATGTTCCTAAAGCTGGAGAGGCTTCAATAAATAGCCAGCTCCTGGCTCAGCAGTGGCAGGGGAAGTTTCATTCATAATAAAGATGTAGAGCAACCATAACCCCCGTGTGAGAGCTGAGCAGGGCACACTTAACGAGAGGTTATTGATTGCAGCACACCAGCACTGACCTTGCCTGGGAGACAGAGAGGGGGTTTGCTGTAATAAAGGGAAAAAAGAATAAAAAAACAACCCATAGGCTGCTCTCTGAGAACAGTTTTCTCAAGGAAAATAAGAAGCTGCAGGGTGGTGAGACACTGGCCCAGGTTGCCCAGAGAAGCTGTGGCTGCTCCTGGATCCCTGGAAGTGTCCAAGGCCAGGTTGGACAGGGCTTGCAGCAACCTGGGCTAGTGGAAGGTGTCCCTGCCCATGGCAGGGGGTGGCACTGGATGGGCTTTAAGGTCCCTTCCAACCCAAACCATTCCCTGATTGGATATTTTACAGTGCTACTTTTAATTCATATTAAGGAGCAAGTTCTCTATGTAACCGAATCCAACTCTGCTGCTTTGGGGGTGAATTTTGCTGTAAGTCCTTTCCCCGATTTTAAGGGAATTCTCAGAACTTGAAGGCTGATCACAAACGTGGGATTTTCCGTCTTTTTTTTTTTTCCTAACAACATTTCAGTTTCGTTTACAATCACTGCAGGTATGAAAGGAAAGGGAAGAACAAACAAAATTTGTTGAGTACACAAAGGTTTGTAGGTCATGAAACACAGTAATAGTGATTGAGGGGACCTTAAGGATCATCCCGTTCCACCTCCTGCCATGGGCAGGGACACCTTCCACTAGCCCAGGTTGCTCCAAGCCCTGTCCAGCCTGGCCTTGGACACTTCCAGGGATCCAGGGGCAGCCACAGCTTCTCTGGGCAACCTGGGCCAGGGCCTGCCCACCCTCCCAGCCAGGAATTCCTTCCCAATATCCCATCTCTCCCTGCCCTCTGGCAGTGGGAAGCCATTCCCTGTGTCCTGTCCCTCCAGGCCCTTGTCCAAAGCCCCTCTCCAGCTCTCCTGGACCCTCTTTAGGCACTGGAAGGGGCTTCAAGGTCTCTCTGGATCCTTCTCTTCTCCAGGTGGACACCCCTCCAGGTAAATTGAGTTTAAACAAGGTGCAAATACTGAGATGGAGAATCCCCAGGGAGCACTGGGATGGGAAGAGGAACACCTGGAGCTGGAGGACACCCCACTTCCAGACTGGGGTGGTGACCCTCGGGGTCATCCATGGAATCTCCATGTTCCTGCTCATCTCCCTGTGATCAAACACAACCCGAGTGTTGTTTTCTGGTGGGATTCAGCCCGGCCGGGAGCTCGTCCATGATTTATTGGCAGGAAGGCAAGCAGACAAAACACAACTTTGGAATTCCCAGCAAGGCAAGGGATTGCAAATGCTAATGAAACTGAGATAATGGAGCAGAAAATAGCAGGAGGGAAGGAGTCAATATTTAATAAAGCTGCTGTGTGAGCGCAGAGCGGCGCGGTGAGATGGAGACCGAGCCTGGAGGAGATGCAATAACTGCCAGGAGATCCTTCTCTCCGCTTTTCCCGGCGATGGAGGGGCTGTAGCTCAGCCCTCAGCTGGCTCCTGGCTCCAAAGGCCACCCGTGGGACAATGCCAGCCATTGTCCCCGGGCAGGAGGACAGCTCCCTGTGCTTCCACGCAGGCTCCGCACACAAGCGCCGCACAAGTTCCCATTGTTTTCCCACCAAAGGCTCCTGACAAAGAGCTCCCGAGGATGCTTGGGCAAGAGGAATAAAACTAATTCAATTTTTTCAGCTGATAGAAGCTGTTTAGAGGCCTTAAATGGGTTTCAGAACTCCTGAGAAAAAAATATGGATTTCAATTTACGGGACTGATTAATAACATTTGTCTCCCAGCAAGGCGGGGAGGGAGGGGGGAGAATTTGCCAGAACAAGAGTTGTGCAGCCACTGGAAACACCTTTTCCAGACCTTTAAATCACGTTTTCCAGTGTCACCAGCTCCCCTCAATGATGTCTCACTGCAGCCAAAGCTCCCAGCAGTGCTGAGCTCTCCTTGCCCCCTCTTCCTGTGTAGCCAGTGCCCCCGGGATGCTCCATGGACACAG